AAAAAAAAAAAAAAAGCTTGCACGTTATATGAGCTCTATCCGAATTCCGATCTGATTGAAAACAACCAAAAACCAATAAATATCTAACTTTGTATTGCAAATTGCACAAGCTACAAAATGGTGACAAAGATGTAATATTTTATTATTTATTATATCTATACTTATATAAAAAATCATCTAATTTACTAGTATTAGAAGAAAGAAAAGTCAACTCATAATTAATTGCACACCATATTTAGAAAATTCAGATTTTTTAAATCATAAAATAAGTAGCATTAAATGCCCCTAAAATTATGAGTTTTATTGAATTCTTTTTTTTTTTTTTGCATACGTGTAGATTTAAAGTGAAAATTTGAAATTCAAAATATCTTCTCATTTTAGTTACAAGAAAATCGGGTTGCATTCAACACTTTGACCAATTTAAAAATTATTCGTTAAATGAAGAAATTAATAAATAATTGTTATCTCTACTCAATCACATGATTATTTTCAATATAAAAAGAGACAGATTACAAATTAGTGAATCGTATATTACATAATTCAATGTCTTAACATTAAGGAATAAATCATTAATATTATGTAAATCCGTATCTCATATTATTTATATCATTAAAAATATATTAGAGTTATATTATCAAATCATATAAAGATATTAAATCCATATTGTAAAAAAAAAAAACAATTCATATAATTTTATAACAATTCTACTACACTATTTAACAATATTCCTTTTTATTATATAATAAAATAATAATTAAATATTATATGATGAGCAAGAATAAGTAAAATTGTTACTTTCTCTTATATTAAGAGATAAATTTATATGCTAAAATTAATTTTTAATAGTATAAATGTTTTTTTGAGATAATATATTAATTATTACAAGCTAGCCCTAACATGCTAATATTTAATGTTTTGGCTAAAAAACAAGGTTAAAATATGTGGAAAAAATCTTATAACTCTATTTTTTTTAGACTTAACGAAGATTAAAAGAGATAGAAAATAGATAATAGTCTTATTACTTTTTAGATTTAAACAGACAAAACTATAAAAATAACTCATTTAATATCTCTGTCATGTGCATCGCACGAGATACGTACTAATTCTTAATAATTAATCATTATATTTACTGTTAATTAAAAACAAAACTTTTATAAATGGTTTCAAATCATAAATTCAACTTACTGTATTAGTATTTTGACCCTAATTTACTAATTAGACGTATTATTATTTGTGATGATCAGTGTTTTTATTATTTTGTTATTTTCATTTTATACATAACTAGTACAACACGGGTGCTTGTTAGAAAATTATTCTTAAATTTTAAAATCAATGAGAAAACTATATTACTTTACTTTTCTTTTTTACACAAAAAATATATTACTATATAATTTAGAATGATATGTGTTCCTTATGACTTACATGTGTTATATTATATTAGTTTTTATAACTTATATCATATAACTACTTGAAATATAAATATATTAGTTGATAAATAATTTTATTTTTCTAATTAATATTAAAAATAATTTTATTATTGTTATAAAGATAAATATAAATTATTTTTTTATACATACAATATGGATGTTAAACCGAAGCTCATCAAAATAAGATTAATTTGATATATTACATATGTAAAACTGATAAAAAACACAAAAGTTATTAACTTTTAAAATATATACAATTCAATAGTTATAATGAGGAATGATATTAAAATGCAATTAATACATGTAACATGACCATAAATAATCAACATATTTATGGTAATCCGAACTTAATTATTTTTGGTTTGGAATTAAATTAAAATTTACCCAAGCTAATAACGAAGCACGTAATTTTGCCACATAAGATTCCCAAGCACCAGAAGCAGCCACGTAGGCTCAGCGCATTCTGGATTAAATATAGGGGATAGGGGGATTAACAGATGAACTATATACATATACATACATATACATATATATAGACATATATAAAAGCTCGTAGTACTAAATTTGATTATAGATAGGTCGATGTAACATTTACGAAAATTCTATATTTTAATTAATATTCAATTTATCAATTTATAATTAAAACGTAGGAAAATAATGAAAAGATATATATTCTTATACTACGTCAAGAAAAACTTCAAAACTTCAAATACCGTTTTTAGTTTTAAGCGTTATCAAAATCAGTGTCATTAAGATCGATTATTCATATAACACATCTATATTTTTCATTAGATATATATATAATCTATAACATCTATATTTTTGTATTTATAATTAAATTATCAATATAGTGGTGGACATTGATAGGCCCACCAACTATCAAAATTTTCAACTAGTATTGACTTTTTTCCCCCTTTTAGCCAACTTTTTTTTTTTTGCTTCTATCGTAAGCGTACTTATTAGGCCGTCTTTTAGTGAGAGATAGATTTGCCAGCTTTATCAGAAGTTGACTCTCAAAATTTAATTTTAAAAAAAAAAATACTTTAATAAATAACAGAAGCATTTTGAGGATTTTCTTACTGATTTTCTGTTTTTTTTTTGAGAAAACAGAGAATTGGGTTTTTTTTTTTTTT